TCATCTCACCATATTGACACCTGCATGAAACTGATCACAACAATAGTGCCTTTTACAGAGCAAGCTGGTGTAAATATAGTTACAATTAATGATGAGTGGCATTAGAGTGGAAACCTATAGAACCATCAACACGTGGCAACAACAACTTGGGCTGATTTTTGACTCTGTGAAACACAACCCCACCTTCAAAATTGTTTTCGCCCTGAGCCACATGTCACTAAGCCTGTTAACCAGTGAGCACTACCAGGAACATCAGCTTAGTAGGTGATATAACATTACAACAGAGAGGAATGTTCCTGGTAGATCCTGCTGTTCTGTGAAATCATTTACCGTAATTGTCGGGCTATAAGCCGCTACTTTTTGCACAAGCTTTGAACCCTGCGGCTTTTAGTCAGGTGCGGCTTTTCTATGGATTGTCCATGATTTTTGTCATATCGTAAGACGATTTGTTTTGTTTGTTCCGCTGTTGTACGGCACTACGTTGCCTGGCGGAAGGGCATGTGATCAGACACACAGTATCGGGGTTCAAGAGTGGTATGTTGGTCACATGTCCATCCGCCAGGCAACATAGTGCCGTACAAGTAGCGCGAAAAACAAACTTCAAAGTAGCGCTACGCGTTCAGCGGGAGGCGTGGATGAGAGCGGCGATAAACTTGCGAAAAGCAAGTTATGCTCAACTCCACCGGTGGAATCTGACAGCGTGGAAAAGTGTGAAAACATCCACGATCACCAACGGATTTCGAAGGGCTGGACTGCTGCATGATGGAGAGGAGGACACCGCCACGGCCCTTCTGAGGGTGTTCGACTCTGACACTGACAACGAGGATTTCTTTGGTTTTGAAAGTGACAACGAAGGAAAGAAGCTGAGAGTGGATGACGAAGCCATCCTGAGCCTGTTCGTATCCGACACTGGAGAAGAGGACTTTGGTGGTTTTAGTGCGCAGGAAGAAGAGAAAGATGGTGGTGAATGACTGACTTTTCTTCTTGTTAAAGCCGTGTCACTGCACCTGAGCCTAAAAGGTAGTCCGATCTATTTTTCTGGTGTGCTGTAGGTTATTGTTATGTACTACATTTGTTACTCATTTATGAAGCACAGTACATGTTTCGTACTTGTAATTACCGCTACTTGTACATATACCTAAAAAGTTATGCAAATATGTACCCATAATTTGTTTTTCAAAATATTAATAAAAGGGGTGTGTCTCCAAACAGCCATCTCTTTCCTGACAATTCCCTTTGTGCATATTCTCTTACATATGATAAGTCAACATTGAAACACCTGCAGCTTTTAGTCAGGTGCGGCTAATGTATGTACAAAACAGGATTTTCCCCTGATTTTAGCTTGTGCGGCTAATATTCAGGTGCGCTTTGTAGTCCGGGAAATACGGTAATAACATCACTATGCATGCTTCCCATAAACCTGTTAGGAAGTGCAATCCCTGCCAAATCAGGCAGGTGACACTACTGACCAAGTATGCAGCTACAAAAATGTCTGCCTGCCACACGAGTCTCGCACAGCAAACGTGATAGCAGCTAGGCCCGCTTCTTGAAGTACTCCGCAGCTGGAGCCTTCACCCAGAACTTCCCAGAGGCTGGAGATATTCGAGCCGAGCTGGACGGGTTACAATCACACTCATCACTGATTCAGAAAGCTTACATCTGGGCTCACCTACAACAGCAAGCTGGCCTTTTAATCCCCTCATGTGGTGACATGATAGAGGCAAGGATTAAAAGCCAGCCATCCAGCCAGTCAGTCAACACCACTGCCCTGCCTGGCTGCGTACTTGCATCATCGTCCCCAGTGCTTCACTTAGCTTTTACTGCAACTGAGGAAGCACAGTTCAGCAGATGCTCGAGGCCAGGCTGTGGTCATATAAATCTATAATGCAGTACCATTACTCCTGCTATACTTCATCATCTATAAATAGGCTGCAGGCAACCTTCTGTGAATAAACACAAATACTGAAAAACAGTTGATCAGACCAATACAGTTCCAACACACTGCAGAAATTTACATAACAGGCAGACTTCAGCCCTAAAAGTGTTCAGGATGGCGTTCATCCTCAACTCAAGCTTTCTGGACTCTGCATCCCATGAACTTGAAACAAGACAACACACTTGCAATGAAAATTCAAAGACAGACATACATTTTAATCACACAAGCTAAGCCATAACAACAGGATATAAAGATCAACATATAATGATCAGATATTTAATAGAGTGCCTGCACTGATATTTGAAGGAAATATTGGTAAAGAGTTAACAAGTGTGACCAAAATGTTTACTTTCAAATAAAAAAATAAAAAATAAAAAAAAGCAGCACTATTTTAAGTAAATTTTCACAACTACTTCTCCCCTTAATCAACAGTCTGTACCTTGCACCTGCATTCAAACTTGGCCTCCTCAGTAGCACAGATGTGGCTGTTGCTTTCCCATAGCTCTGGCTGCGCTTCCCCCTGCAAGCCCGGTGTTTCCGACTGCTCATTCTCTTCTAGATGCCGGCTCGCTTTGACAGTCTGAGGTACTTGAAGCCATCTGCTCTGTGCTGCGCAGTCCATTCTCTCACGTTACTACCAAACATTTGGCTAAAGGGTCTTTAAGCTGGGTTTCCTTCGGGGTTTGGTTTAATAGGATAGGATCACTGACGTAGTACAGGGTGTGGGTGGGGAGTGCATCCCACCCGACTTGTCCTTTCACCGGGTTTCACCCAATTTCTAGGCTTTCTGAAGCCAAAAAAACCACTAAAGTGGCATGTGTATTAGTGCAACAGCTGACCACTACTGATAAAGATACAAAGATAACAGGATATGCAACTGTTAATAAAGCTCCTGCAATCATTTTCTTATCAAATAAAAAAAAAAAAAAGTCCTTTCCTTGAACGTTGCCCTTTTTCTGTCCTAAAAAAAGACCTTGTAAGGAGCAGAGCGATAAGACAACCACAGCTAAACAGTGCCTAAAACCACCTAAGGTATCAATTATAGGTGTTACAGACTCAAAGAGGTTTATTTTTATAAACCAGGTCACAGGGGTTACACATCACTGACTACTGTTACAGCCAAGTTAGACCACACACCTGCATTAACTGCACAACTGCATAAATTTGACTAAACTAAAATGGCATGTCTGTTTTACAGGCAGTGAACTGTGAATAGTTTTAACATAATAATCTGAGGTCAAGCAAGGGTCATGAAGTTCCACAGAAGGACACCCAAGTGTCAATAATCAGAGCTTCTTCAAAAATAAGAAAGGTGTGTGCCACAATTAAACTATGACTGAAAAGACCATATCCGAAAAACGTAAGCGGTCTGTGTTTTGCGTTTGTCACGTTGATGCTCAAGATAATGTGACACAAATATACACAAACCTACAAAAGCATGTGGGACCTCATGCTATGAGAGCTTTTAAATACCCAGTATCAGCACAACTTGTGAGAACAGTTGGATACTGTCGCCCACCTACTGAGTCCTAAATATTTCACTTAAATGTCAGCCTTAGTGAAAACGGGTATGAGAAAAAGAATAACATTCCTTCCCTTGTGTTATAAGCAGTGAAAAGCATAATTTAAACCGTCAACGGCCGCCGCCGATTCAGCTTTGGTGCCAGCTAGCCTGTTAGCATCGTCACACAATGCCAGCTTTCCCAGCAAGCTCGCGCTGCGGCGAGGTCCTCAGTGGTGGTCCAGCAACAGCGAGATATACAAAAGCACTTATGTGGAGGGGAGAAAAATGCCGCCTGGCTTACCTTTTTCATGCGAGGAGCCTCGGCAACGGTTCCGTCCCGGTTGACAAACGCCTCCCCGCCATTCTGCTGCGGGTCCGAGCGTTTCATAGACGACGCTTGAGGCATCTTCGCCGGGTTTGGGGTGAGCAAGCCCGTGCCTCCTTCCCCGGCTTTCGCGGAAGGCTCCGCGGTAGGGGACACGGCAGCCGCGGAACCGGCCTCGTGCGGGTCGTTTCTGGGGAGGTTCTTGCCTTCCGACGTGGGTGTCACCGGGGATTCAGCCGGCAGGTCTTTGCCGGTGGGGACGTCTTTGAGTTCGACCTCTGCCATTTTCGCTGCCACAACCTGGACTGACATCGCTGCAGTTTCTCAAAGTCCTTTTTCCAGCACGATAGCGAGTCAAGCGGATGTGAGCGGAGGAGCCACGACGGCCAAATGCATTGTGGCTCTTGTAGTTCCACTAAGTAGCTCAATGGCCCACAGGACACTTCTCACACCAGTTATTCGTACACGAGTAACATTTTATTGGACGTCAATACATGCAGCAAAAGAACAATATCGTTACCCATTATTATAATACATTTAAATTAGCTAAAAAGAGAGTCTTAATAGACATTGAGACCACATTTCCCAATAGAGATAGCCGGGTTGTTAAATACACTCTGGGAAATGCAGTTTTTAATAAAAAGAGGACGACAATAAACTACATAACAAACGTGAGCTTTGCAGATAATGCGGTTTCAAGAGAAATCTCATAAAATGCACACTTAGATCTTTTTTGTGAAAAATAATCAAATTTCTTTCTAAAATAAAATATTTACAACGTACAAAATCCACTACTGGTGGTGGTCAGAGGGCCCGGTTGCGCCAGTGTTCGGCAGCCTTGCCTCTGTCAGTGCGCCCCAGGGTGGCTGTGGCTACAATGTAGCTTGCCATCACCAGTGTGTGAATGGGTGCATGACTGGATGCGTAAAGCGCTTTGGGGTCCTTAGGGACTAGTAAAGTGCTATACAATTACAGGCCATTTACCATTTTACTTGTTTTGTCAAAGTAAGCAAGAGCAGGCTGTGCTATTACACTCTGTGTGTAGCGGAGTGTTTATCAACACTCTGTCAATATACTGCATCACATAATGCGGTGGTACATAAGACGGGTACAAGACGAAGGTCAAATCACAAATAAGGAGCTGCACTGCCACCAAGTGGATGCCTAAGATATTAAAGAAAAAAAACAGATCTCAAGCACACTGCGTACAGTTCAAGGAAATGAAGAAACAAGTGTTTTCTATTATTAATATTTCAATTTAATTTCCAAGTCTCATTTGACACTCGTAAAACAGCTTTATCGAAAACAAACATGTAGAGGGTGGTATAAAATCTAAGGAAAAGAAATATTCACAGAAACAGACATTGGTGACTTGAAGGCTTTTCATCTCTCCATCACATATAGTTCAACTGTTGTACATGTATGTGCAGCATTTCCGCAGCTGTACATATACGTACAACTGCTTTCAGCATAGCTGCAATATCCACTGGTCTTTTTTTTCCCTCCCCAGTAATTCAAGCACATGCCAGGAATAATCCGATTATTGCATTCTAAACTACAACAGGACAGGGGGGAAAGCGACAAAAGGTTGCTATTTACATTCAAGCTGATGGGTCTGAGCCCTTGCTGTCCACCAGATAAATCTGAGGTATATTATTTACAAGGCTGCCATGCGGGTACATTCTTAAAGTAAAAAATCAGAAACTCCAAACACTGTTTAAAAAATACAGCTCTTTGTTGTATCATAAGCACTCTGTGGTGAAAAAGAAACATGTCTCTAAAAATGCAAATGAAAACACAGCAGGCTGTCAATCATCAAAATGTTCAGAGAACATGCATCTACTCTAACTGAAGTCTTGTGTGCTGTTTGTTTGTTGTTGTTTTTTTTTTTGCTCATGTGCACCAGAAAGGGGACACACATGTCCTCAAATCCACTTGGAGTTCCCTTGTAACTTAATATTTGAGGATGACGCCTCAGTCCTCAAATATCCACAGGATGTTCACACCTGAGAGGCCCAGATTCACTCTCCTGAGGAGAATATGAGAACAATTTAACCACAGTACACAAGACAAGGTCAAAGTAGTCACTTAAAATAAATAAAAGTCTATCTTAAATCTGAACTTTAGTGCATCATTTCTATCGGGAAAATGAATCATTTCATGATTCTTTCTAATGTCTCTGTTCACGTTGGAGATTAAAATCCAACTAGCTTTGAATAAAGAGAAACACTCACCCCAGCATCCCTGACTCCTTGGTCTTAATAACATAGAGGAACATGAGGATTGTGTGGAACAGGTTGTTCCTGCCCTGTAACCGAAATCAACATAGGTTCACATCAGCGCAATAAAGTGTTACAAACAAGCAAGAAAACCTCAAATGTTACTGAACGATACGCCCGTTACATGCTGGCTCTTTCTCTAGGACGAGGAAGGCCCATGGATTTAAAGTAACAAGAGTTATTCTTTTATGAATAAAACATGGGTTTTTGATTTGCAAATCATTTATTCAGCATCCCAACATTTGATAATGTGATAATGGCATTAGTATTTTAAGTTATCCTCCATGAAGGAGATTTTAATGTTTCCTTGGGAAAACAGAGGAATATGTAACAACTGCAAAATTATTGGCTACATTGTTAATTTAAACACCGCCTACAAATGGCCAACAATTTTACAACTGGTGCATTCCTAAAAAAAAGAAGAAAATAAACAGGAGTGAGAACCTTGGGAAGACTGTAGACATGTCCTTGGTAGATGAGCTGGTAGTGAGGAGGAGTGGTGCTGCTTTGATGAATGCAGAAGAGGTTCTCCTTGGTAACATCTATGAGTTAATACAAAAAGGTGACACAAAAGAAAAAAAAAAAGCAATGCTGGATTTCAAGGAAGATCAAACAGTGGCCATCTTAAGTCTTTAAGTACTATTCTTCAAATTCTATCTAATGTTGTGCTCACCAGGTTTGTCCGGGGTGTGGCTAAAATGTTGAGAAGTGAAAGTCTTCCCATCTGGGTACTTTGGGTGCGGAGGCAGCCTGGAGTCCAGGTATGTGCAAAACACATGCATGAGGATCTGAGAAGACAGACACGTAGTTATTGTGACACAACTGAGCCACAGCGTGTGCAGTAAAAGAGCAAGGTCGCTTTGATCTGACGAGTAGAACAATTACGGTAATTATTCCAACCTTTGCTACTGACATTTACTTTTTAGCTCATTCACACCCCATCCTTGTCCTTTAGAAGCATTAAAAAAATCATTTATATGATGAGAACTGAACACTGGAGCAATTTAAACACATTTTGAGTATACTCACATGTGACATTTATTAAATGCACATAATAAATAAATAAATAATTGCTGCTCATTATGTCTGTGTGGATATCGCTGGGTGTGGTCATGTACACTTACAGCACAGTCAGTAGGAAGGTCTGTATCCCATTTCCTGTTCTTCAGGTCACCACCACCGTTCCAGCGAAAGGAGCTCATACAACCGCTGTGAGCCAGCTCTGACACAAAGAAGAAATAAAACACACAGCACATATGCAGTGAAGTCCAATCACAGGTCCACAGTGTTCATTTTTCATGGCTGAACATAACACATTTTATTTAGTTTGATGCAGGTATACAGGACTTTTTTATATATATAAATTAATGCCTATATGCTTTAATATTAAACGCACCCTTTATCCGGTCCACTAGATACTCCTGGTTGGGTGTGATATCCAAGTATTGGACAATAGAGTTCAAAGTAGGGATGGAGGAGGCTTTGGTCACTGCTGCCTGTTTCAGACTGCTTATGCTGGCCTCTGGTGGAGAAAAAAAGTGATAAAAAGTAAAGTAGCTGGCATAACAGTGCCTACAGAGTGTCAATTTCAATTGATTTGGAAATATTTTGAGGCAACTCCTTACTACTCATCAGTCAATAGCAGATTTTAGAAGTTTACCTCCTATCTGGAGCTCTGGGCAGCCCATTCTCCTGAGCAAGCTATTAACTGAGTCTATTTCTTTGACCAAGGGGACCAAGATAGTATCACTGATCCACTGCAGACACACATAAAATCATTTTTTTAAATTCAGATCAAATATTTCTGGACACCTGGAATACATTAAATATATAGATAATCAAGTGAAGCCCTACTCACATTTCTAAGCTTGGCTGTCCAGCCATCAATGCGATCTAAAACCGGGCGACTGGTTGTGATTCTCGCCCACACCTACGTATCAGAAAGGAGATAGAAAACATTTTCAAAAGAGCCAACTATAGTTTAAAGAAGAGACAAAAAAAGGCTAATCTTTCAACTGATAAACCCCGCCCAAAAAACAAATACTGACACACAGACCTCCTCTGCAGCCTGTTTGGAGCCCAGGTCCGTCTCATCCTTGTGGGCAGAAGGCGCCTGAGAGCGGCATGCAGGCTGGTAAAGGAACTTCCTCAGGCTCTGCGCATAATCTCCCACCGAACGGTTGTAGTTCCAAAACGTAGGACTGTGACTTGGAGACAAAGACTCTGGACTTCCTACACAGGGAATGACGCCATCATGACATCAGAAGTGACCTACTATGTTAGAATGGGGGATACTCATGCTAACTATAGCCAAAGTTTCAAATAATAAGGATTTTCCACTCTTGGATCTGTACAATGTCCAAGAGAGGCGCTATCCTTCAAGGCTGTAGTTCAAACCTTGCTTGTGAGCATAAACCCAACTGCCTAATTGTATTCATTCATTCATGCTTTAAAAATCGTGAATGAAACCTACAATTTCCTCTGTGATCTACTCTACTTTAGCTACCTACCAAGCTGGCTCCGATGACTCCTTTCCTCCTCTGTTCGCAGGAACCTCTCCAGACTTCTCAGATCCTCCATGTAGTCCTCCTTGCTTCCAGGGGAGTTAAACACTGAGGGAGGTGTGCGGTAACGAGCCCTCAAACTGGAGCCTTCTGCTGACCCAATAGTAGTGGGATAAGGAGAGGAGCCAGAGGGTGGACTGTAGTTCAGCACCTGAAACAAGGAGAATCGTTAATGGAAAGGAAATGGAGTTCAGTTTTCTTTTTTTCTCGTGTACTCATGTCACTCCTGGTTAAAAGTACCTTTCCAAAGGACACAGAAGGGGAAAAGGGGCCTCCTGCATTGTTTGTTGGGGATGGGTTGCTGAGTGTGGGGCTATATCCAGGAACACAGCTGGGGGAGAACTTGGGGCTGCTGGAAGCTGTACGAGAGGGACTAAAGCTGAGCACGCTCTGGCCCTGCAAAGGAGATGACTGGGCTGGAGCCGGAGCTTCCTTCTTTTCTGGCTTTTGAGGCGGAGATGCCTGAATACCTGCAAAACAAAAACCCCCAACTCTGGCTCATATGTTCATCTAAAGATTGGGGGGGGCTTCCTTTCTGCTACTTTACTTGCCACAAAGGGTCTTGAATATAGCAAGAACTGGACAAAAGGTGTGGAAAAATATAAACCATAAATTTGCGCCTCACTTGTGTTTCTCAGACCCAGAAGGTGATGCTGCTCAGGGCTTACAGCAATGGTGGACGGAGCCATTGTGTATTTGAAATACTTCCAGAAGTCAAAAAGAGCATTGAGGCTAAAAAGGGAGGCAAGCACCAGTTCTGTAAAAGAAGAAAAAAACAAAATAAAAGACTGTAGCAGAGCATGAACATGCAGGTGGCAAATTAAAAGCCATTTCCCTGTATTCCTGGCATGAGTCTTTTTAGCATTATATATGGTATTGTGCAAAATTCCTCTCATGTGCAAACGAATGGAAATACAGCGTGAAAAACAAGTCTCTCAAGTTACAATTAAAAATTGTTGTAAAAGCAGCCAATGTCCAAAGAAAAACTCTGAAAGAATTTCAGAAAGTCAGGACAACTATAAGAAGAACACATTATAACCCTACAAGAAAGTCTGTTTGCTTGGAAGCAAAACATGAAGAAGTGAAGCATGAGTTAAGACTTTTCTACACTGTAAATGTTACTTTAAGCACAGCTGAGAATAAATAGGACTTATTCTGAACAGAGAAGCAAAACACAATTCTGATACGTAGCCTAATACGGTATATTAGGTCTGCGTTGCTGTTTGTGCAGTAGTGTAGAGGAGCCTCACCGATGTACCAGATAGGCCAGTAGGTAATGTTGTAGTATCGGCTCAGCAGCTTGCCTGACCTGATAGAAAAGTAAAAAATAAAACCAGACGAGTACATAACCACACCGCCAAGCACGTAGCATTATTTAACATTGAGGTATGTAACTTACATTTCAGTGTAAATCATGCCAGCAAGAGATACGTTTAGAACAGCCCAGGCAAGGACCACCTGACGAGCCTGCTCCTCCCTCCTCATCCTCAGCGCCCTGTCTATCATGCTGGGCATTCCCTCCTTCGGCGGAGTGAACATGGTTTTATCCCACTGATCAGGCTGAGGGAAAGCATAAAGAAATAACTGTTGTCTGGCTCGGCAAGGAATAAAACCGCGTGACAGTAATAGCTGTACTTGGCTCGCGGCTATGGGTACCATAGCATAGTTTAGTTAGCCCGGCATACTAACAGGAAGGGCTAGCTAAAGTTAGCTAGCTTACAAGTTAAAACAGTTCTGCGTTAGAGGCTTGGTTACACTTTATGCGCCCCTTCTCATTGTTAAAAGTAACAACATTTGACCCAAACATTAATACAACCACAAAACAAACACAAAGCACAGGGAATTTAAGAAATTCATACCACGCTAAAGTGAATAACAAATGCGGCGCTGCATGATTTGTATTTCACCGGAAGTTGTAGGGTGCACTTCCGGTACCTTCTATATACGCATCAAAGCTGCTCAAATTTCAATAGTAAAAATAAAATATTATTATACTCTTATATATATTAATGCAGACACAATTAATTATTTGTTCATTTTCTGTAAGACTAAAGTAGTAGATTGCGCTTTAATCTTAGAAGGTCACAGTTTGATTCAGGTCATAAATATTGAAACATGTGATATTAATATGGCCAACTGGGGGCGTTGCCCATCTTGTTTTACCATTTTCATTCACGTAGAGTTGAAATAAGGTATTAATGGCTTAAACTAAGGTCTAATTTTGACAGACACATAATCACAAAAAGACAAACACAACCCGAATTAACTAATAACAGAAGCTATTAGTTATAAAGTTATTCTATTTGTATTTAATATCTTGAACGAGATGGAGACAGGTGTAAGAGTAAAACTGCAAGGAGCAGAGGTGGTGAAGGTGGATAAGTGTAAAAACCTCATCCAAAGCAAAGGAAAGGGAATGTTTACGAGATTTAAGAGACAGAGTGAGAGACGCAGGGCAGAAAATGTTTGTGCGAAGGAGGGACAGTGGATATACTGTACAATGGATGTTAAATATGGAGCTGTCAAATAGAAGACAAAGAGAAAAAAACGGCGAGAAGATTCCTGGATGTAGTGAAGCAGGATATGCAGAGAGGTTAGTGTAACTGAAGGGATACAAAAAACATGGTGAGATGGAGATAGATGATTCACTGTGATGATCCTAAAGGGAGCGGCAGATTAATTGTTCACGATGCAGACTTCTCAAAAACTCCCCCTAGGATCAGATGTTCTTAGCATCACTTTACTAATAGTCTGCTGTTTAAGAAAGACTGATATTTGTGAATCATGCCTCATTTGCCTCAAGATCAAACACAAACTGTACAAATTTTCAAAATTCAAGAGCACATACAAACAACATGGAAACTAGACAAATAAAAAAGTTAACAGAAAAAATAAAATAAAAGCTGTATTTTGAGGAAAGAAAGCCAACAAATCCTCAGTGTGAACTATGGTGGAGGGGGTATCATGGTTTGGTACCTTATTTCTTGGTCACCTGGAAATCACCTTGAAAGCAGTAAAGGGGAAAAGATGACTTTAAGCTTTAATCCTAAAATGTAACAGGAAATAATCAAGGCAGCAGCCTGTGAGCTGAAGCTGAATCTGGAGAAAACGGTGTGTGTGTGTGTGTGTGTGTGTGTGTAGAGGAGGTGGTCTGGCATTTAAGGTTTTCAATATATCATTTTCAGATTTGGTTTGAAGATCGCACCAAATATGAAAATTAGCAAAGACTTTATATTACCACCACAAGTTTTTTTTAAATGGTAAATGGTCTGTATTTGTATAGCGCTTTACTTGGTCCTAAGGACCCCAAAGCACTTTACACTATACACAATCATCCACTCATCCACACACTGGTGATGGCAAGCTACAGTGTAGCCACAGCCACCCTGGGGCGCACTGACAGAGGCGAGGCTGCCGAACACTGGCGCCACCGGGCCCTCTGACCACCACCAGTAGGCAACGGATGAAGTGTCTTGCCCAAGGACACAACGACCAAGACTGTCGGAGCCGGGGCTCAAACCGGCAACCTTCCGATTACAAGACGAACGCCCAACTCTTGAGCCATGATAAGGTGAATTATTCTCAACAAGAACTGTATACTATTCACAAACTCATGCAAACTGTTAGATCAGCGGTTCGAGAACTCCAGGCCTCAAAGGCCAGTGTCCTGCAGGTTTTGGATCTCATCCGAGGTCAGCACACCTGAATCAAAGGATTAGTTTATTACCAGGCCCGTGGAGAACTTCAAGATATGTTGAGGAGGTAATTTAGCCATTTAAATCAGGTGTGTTGGATCAAGGACAAATAAAACCTGCAGGATACTGGTCCTTGAGACCTGGAGTTCCCCACCCCTTTGTTAGAGTGTAGGTAGATCTAATAGCCATCAGGCTCAGCATGAGGCTACCAGTATGGGTCATTAAAACTCATCCCACCCTTCTTTCATCCTGACCCTCCCTGGAAACTTTATTTTTTGATCCAATCACACAATTGTATTTGTACAGAGATAAGATGAACCAATCAAAGAATACTGGACTGTCCTAAACACTTTAAGAAAACAGTCTCTGATATTCAGAAAATCTTACCTCGCCTGTTGAGTTGGTGCTTATCTCCATGTTGACTAAACACAGACAGTGTAAAAGTACTAGTCAGAGTATTGTTATAGTTTTGCTTCTAGTTTTGGTGCATTTTCTGTAGTTTTCCTGGTTGTTTGCTGAGTTTCATCTGAGAATTGATTTTCTATTGGACTTCAGATTAGAAATGAATCTATTAATCTAGAATTCTACAGTTTTATATCACAAACTGTATACATACAAGAAAATAAAAGACAAAAATTCACATGTAAGTTAATGTATGTATACCACTGCTTACATTACATTATGTGACCAGCAGAACCTACAGTGCACATATCCTACTACATGTATAAAATGTAGTGGACTACAGGACCTGGATTTTCCTGTGATGTCTAAAGGCCATATGTGGTGATTGTGCTTTAACTTTTGTCCATCTGTAAATGTGATGGAAAAATAAATACAAAATTTTACCTTTACTTACATAGTAAAATTGTATTACTATCCATTACATTCTCACATATCCATCACTTTAATAACCCAGATACGTGTGACTATAAATAAACCTTTTTTTCTCTCAAAATGCAGTTCGAGATTGCAAATTAAGCATTGCATTTATTTCCCCCGCTATACACTGACCAGCCACTTTATTTAGAACGCATGTTCAACTGTTCAAATATCTTATCAGCCAGTCACATGGTAACAGCTCAGTGCTTTCAGGAATGTAGTCTCAGTCAAGATGATTTGCTGAAGATCAGCCTGAGCAGCAGAATGTAGAAAAAAAGATGATTTAAGTGACTTTGAAGTGAACATCGCACGATTGTTGTTGCCAGACTGAGTATTTCAGAAAATGCTGATTTACTGAGATGATGCCAGCAACATGGTTTAATAAACTGGGCTACATATAGTTCTGTGTTACATCACTGCTTCTTTTATCAACACTATGTCAGCTTTCAGACAGCGAGGACATCAGTGCATTTGTAAGCCACATATGCTTCTTGACGTAGGATTACAACAGTTCAGTGTGTTCTTTGTTTTTCATCTCAGAATGTGGTGAATGTTTTGAGAATTTGATAGGACATGAACTTTTACATTTGAGCCATGTTGTCAGAATGCACGCAAAGTGTGGTTTTGGCATTGTGTCTTGAAATAAACAAAGCTTCCCCGGAAAAAAAAGATGCAATCAGCATGGCGGCATATGTTGCTCCAAAACCTGTATAGATTATTCTGCATTAATGAGGCCTTCACAGATGGGAAAGTTACCCACAACATGCTTACGAATGCAATCTCACGCCATCACAGATGCAGGCTTTTCAACTGTCGAGCTATTTAAATGCAGGAGTTTTACTAAAGATTTTTTATGGTGTGGCATTACTCCTTTCAATAAAGTAAAGCAGCTGCTTCCCCCACTGCTGTAATAGTAATGATGAACTAACGCTGATAAACTTGCTTTGCCACAAACACATGCTCTTTCAAAACATGTTTTTAAGTTGAGCTCCACTTGTGTTTTTCTGCAGTTTGAGGAGGACACCTCAGCATCATTGCGTGCCCTGTTAGTCCCATTTCTTCCGTTTCCGTCCCCAGATGAGGGCTCTGTGTCTGAACATGCGGCAGCAATCTTTCCTGGTGGTCCCCTACTGATCTCACTGCAGCTGATAAACTTTATCGCGCCTAGTCATCGCGAACGTTTGCAGGAATTCTCTCGCCATGCGCTGCACGAATGTGTAGCCTTGCGCAAACAGGAATAGATCAGCAGGCTTAATATAGAGCTTAAACTTGCTTGTCTGATTGTATCCTAATTTCCTTCCTCATTTTTCTTCCACGTGTTATTTTCTTTATTGTTTTCATCTTTCTGTTTTTGTGACTACATAATTGAAATCTTGCTTAGCATGCTTTTGACCACATTGTAAGGGATATACCCAATTGTTCTCAAGCGTGTGTTTACTAAGGGCCCATGGTGGCCCTGTGTGACAAGATGTTCAGAGGACAACAATGTTTGAGCAGTTGTTTTTGTTTTGTTTTTTTAGTCCCTCAGATTCAAAAAACTGATTGTATAGGAGGTAAGGATGTGGAACACACTTTCCAAAAATAAAACACAATCCACATGATTCCTCACAACCCTTTCCTCTTTATTATGGGTTAAATCTCACGCACACATAGGCAACAAATTTCACACTGAAATATATCCATGGATCCAAGGAATCTGTGCAGGAATCCGATTAGAATCTGCCTGTGTACTTCAGGAAAGAAAACATCCATTATGGCAGAAGCTTTAGTAGCTTCAGTAGTAGCTTCATGTTTTCCATCTTTAGAGTGCCGCTGAACCATCAAGCGCAAAGTACCAGCACTTGGCTAATTATTGGGTCTAATTCACACACTGCACTACCAAACGCCTTTTGTTGAGGGTTTGTCATGCTTTAGTGGAAATCAATGCCATTCTCCCCTATCTGCACGGTTCAGTTGGCGTGCATTCTGCAGGGCTTTCCAAATCCCCTTTAACTGTATACAATATCGCTAATGTTTACTTTTTGGGGGTAAATTTGTGGTTTTGGTATTACAGAAAATGAGAAAGGGGCTGTTTCCATGCAGGCCAGCGGAGGTTGGAAGCATAAACATGCAAATAGTAGAAGTAGAGACGAATGTTTCTAGAGTTTCCTCTTATGAAGCTGAGGGTTCCCTGATAAATGCATTCCTCAAGATATTAGAAGGCAAAAACTTCCTGAGTACCATGAGATATGAAGTAGGTGGTCTTTGAAGAACATTTAGGTGCAAAAAACAGGAAGAAAGAGAGAGATACTTTCTTCTGAAGGGATGCTTCTTGCTTAAGGAGTGCTTGGGAAACTGCTTTAAAAGCATGGTTTTGCAAACAACCGTTTAA